AAAAAATAGGATTTGAAAGGCTGGAACAGTAGGAGCAATCGACCTGGACAGTGAGAACAAAGTCCACAGTCCAAGTCGATTACGTACTAGCGGGCCTTTGCGCCGAGCACGTTTTCCGTGCTCCTTGCCCCGGGACAACTTTTTTGAGGCAACTGTAGACAACCAGGTTCCTGCATGAACTCTATTACAGTATTCATGATTTCGGCAAAAGACAAATCTAATCAGATCTGATATTATAAGAATTACCACTAAAGATGAAAAAATCGATGTTTTTTCCGCTGTTTGCGCTAATTTCCTAAAGGGAATCCCACTGGCATTTTCAAATATATCGTCGCAACCTAAACCATACAAAGTTTATGTCCCCTTTTCATCTGTTTCAATTCCTCCTTTACGGATACGATGGCATTCTGACGGGCTGAAGAGCAAAGCATGAAAAACCGTGTGATGATGATGAAGAGTGTCGTAGAAAGAAGTAAATGTGGAGCAATGATGGGAACGGGTATGAAAAATAGAAAAACCTACTCATATAATAAAAGCAGCATTTTGCGGACCATCACAAATACAATCACGAAGAATCAACTTCTGAAATCATGGAAGAAACCTTCTTTCGGATTGTTCACGAACTCTTTATTAGTGAGTATAGTGAGTATTTTTAATACCAAATTACAAAATAATTATTAGTAACCACTTCTATATTATCTATTGATAACAATGAAGTACAAAGACTTACCAATATGTTGCTTCAAGTATAAGATGTGAGTATACAACCAAAGGTGTCAGAACACTTATGGGTGAGGTATATGCTATGAATGCCATGCAAAAAAATGGTTATTAACAAAAATAATCTAAAAATAACATCTGCAATCATAGAATCGATGAAGAAACATTTTCAAAACAGTTCTAATTGATATAATGAAAACTTGTGAAGTAGATAGCTTCAGGATTCCTCTGGAAGACGAGGAAGTTGAGAATCCTACTTACCAACCGGTGGCAATACGTCAGCATTGGCAGGTTCTGCATTCATCGTAGAGCTGCAAAGGTTAATATTCCAGTTTTCACAATAATTTTCCCACAAAATAATATGTTTTCAAGTTCATAAAATTAGAGCTTAAATGGGATACGGTATGAAAATTGGACGGCGTCTGAGCGCGACGGTCGTGTGTACAGTTCGCGCTGAGCTCACAAAGTGCTTCCTCCAAGAGGTTTTCGGAAGCTTTTTGACACCATCGGCAGATCTCTGAAGTTCAACAACAAAATGAAATCCCCTTACTCTTCGATATCCCCGAGACCGTGATGGTTCACAACTACTGCGAATACTACTTGAAGGATAAAACTTGGACGTACCTCATCGTGAGTGGTTTCCCAACTAAAACATTCACTGTGTCAGCCATCTCCTTATTAGTGGTCTCTGCGGCAGACACTGTCGTATTAGAGCCTAAGACAATCAAAAAGAAGTCCAAATCCAAAAGTCCAAAAGCCTCCCTATAATAACTGACTTCTCTTGAAGGCACCACACACGCAACCCTAGGAGACGGGCAGTAGGAACGGTTTTCTGTAATCGATTCGCCGCACACGGCAGTCGCGGACCCATGATTCTACTACCAGTTCCTTTGTTCCTGTATTTCCTACCTGCTGCTGCATTCTGTTATATCCCTTCGCGCGCGCGTCCCTCTTGCCGCGACGCGACAATTTCGTTCCTACTGCACCACACTCAAATTGATCAAGTCAGTGATTCCAGGATTCTGAAGTGCTTTCGTTAATGTCCCCGCCTAACATACTGTTGATTAAATGTTCCCAAAGCGATGTAAGGGCCAAGGGGCTCGACTTAGATCAACTAATGTTTTCCTTTCTCCAGTTTAGTAATTCTTCCGACTTTTGGCTGATTTATAGATGTGAGAGTCGACTCTTAGTGTCATATTCAACTTTTCAGAGAAAAAACATGAACTTTCGTTCGGAAACCTAATCAATCGTTCAGCAAAACAAACGTGGGCAGGCTTAAGATCCAGGTCTAGAACGCATCAATCAACCTGATTTCAGACGAGAGCAGAATGTGTGGTGCAACCCAAGAAAAGCAGACTGACAACTGCGCCTACTCATAGAATAGCAATAATCATACCTTGCCCGGCTGCTGGAGCCAACTTCTTCAGCAATCTTGATGAGCGTCTTCCTTTGATTGAAGGAGTTTTCAGGTTCAACAGCAACTGGCTTTCTGGTGGTGTGAATGGAGGAAGCATTCCATGCTTTCGAGATTGTGCAGGTGGAAGCAATGATTCGCCAGCAGTCGTGGTATTTGCTGGAAGACTGACAGCGTTAAGCTCGTTTGGTGTGCATGGTGGCAGTGGAATATGAAGAAAATTGGACAGAGCCGATGCAGCAGACCACACTCGAGCATAAAGAGGAAGACGCATATCAAAATGAGCTGGGAGTAGAACATTTCTAGCGGCAACGAAATTTTCAGGTGTAGCCGGTGGGGTCAGCAACGGCATTGTAGGCCCGTTACCACAGAATGGTATGGAAGGTGTCTCCGTTGGTGGCGTAAAGACATCAGTCGCTGGAGCAACAGGTGGCGGCGGAATATTTGCTGTTCTAATCGTTTCTGTTTCAGCACTCAACGAAGTCGCACAGAAGCCTAAGGGCGGAACAGCCAGTCCATTCTGTGGTGTCACACTACCTAAATTATTGCACTACAAAGTGATTCCGTATTATCTGATGGAAAGGTAACACATGTTCTCTGCACAATATGAAGCCTGATTCCCCTGAATATGCCCCATGGAAATCTGCAACTTCCGCTACTCCTACTCCTATACGAAAGGGCAGGGCCGTGAGATGGTCCCGTGGTAGGCACGTTTGCTGCGTGAACCGCACCGTAAGTCTTACTGAAAGATTTACGCCTCGCCTCGCCTTTCAATGCTCTCGCTCAAATTCTCCTTCGACTTCTGACTTTTCTGTGAATTACATGAGCACAGATAAATAAATAATCGAAGAAGATCAACCGCTGTTTCGAGAGACATTCTGGAGTCATTGAAGAGACGGAGAATCTCCAAAGGAGCTTGTCTTGCACTTATTTTT